TGCTCCTCTCAGCCCTTTTAATTTTTAAAAATTTTGAGAGAGGGTCTTGCTGAGTTGTTGAGGCAGACCTCAAACTTGAGGTTCTCCTGTCTCAGCCTCCTGAAGGCTGGGATCATGGGTCATGTGCCACTGTGCCCAGCCTCATGTTGCAATCTTTAAGCCATTTGGAATTTAGAAAATGTGAGGGTAATGCCTGACCTCACACTGCAATCTTTAAACCATCTGGAATTTAGAAAATGTTAGGATCGTGATTTTTTTTTTTTTTTTTTTTTTTGGTACTGGGGATTGATTGAACCTCTGAGTTACACCCCCAGCCCTTTTTATTTTGAGACAGGTTCTCACTAAATTGCTGAGGCTGGCCTCAAATTTGTAAAAGGATCATAAGGTTTTAAAGAATAAGCACTGGGCTGGGGATGTGGCTCAAGTGGTAGCGTGCTCGCCTGGCGTGCGTGCGGCCCGGGTTCGATCCTCAGCACCACATACAAACAAAGATGTTGTGTCTGCCAAATACTAAAAAATAAATATTAAAATTATCTCTCTCTCTGTCTCTCTCTTCTAAAAAAAAAATAAAGAATAAGCACTAAACCTTGGTTGTCATATAGTCTCATCAATCTGTTGTACAGGAGGGAAAGAATCCACAGAGAGAAAATGCATGTCTCCCAAACCTGCTTTCTCTGGAGTTCCCTTACTCTGGAAGTGGCATATCTATCTAGCAAGGAACTAAAGTTCAATCCCCACACTTGGTCTGTCTTTGGTTCTTCCTTCTAAATGTTCACAAGTCTGTCTTCTCAGCATTCTCTCTTCCCAACGTACTTCAGGCCTCGACACATATCAGGGCTTCTACGCATGCTACTCTCTGCCTGGACTATGGCTGGCTCCCTATCCAGGCCTCATATTTCCTTGTCTGCTTTAAATCAAATACCTACTGCGTTACAGTAGCCCTGTGTGTTTTCTTTCACAGTACTACAGTCTGGAATTAGCTTATTTATTCCCTTGTTCTTTGTCTTTCTCCGTCACTAGAATGTAAGCTTGCTGGTACTAGGGGCCGTGTTTTTTGTTTGTTTGTTTGTTTTTTCTCTTTCTGTGTCCCTAGCATACTTAACAGTGCCTTTCATGTAGTATGTTCAGGGCAGTTATAGTTTGGTGTGGTGTCACATGCCTACAGTCCCAGCCTTTGGATGGTTGAGGCAGGAGGATCCCTTCAGTCCAGGAGTTTGAGACCAGCCTGGATAACACAGTGAAACCCCTTCTCTCAACAAATAATCCCTGCTTTTGAATGTGATGCTGAAGATTGAACCCAGAGCCTTAGGCAAGCTAAATGCAGGGTTATGGACATATGGAAAGATTTCTCTTCCCTTTCAGAAGATGCCGTTGTCTCCTTCCCATCTACCTTCAGGCCAGACCTGCTGTCTTCCCAGGAATTTTCCTGCCTGCACATGTGGGCAGATGCAGTGCGGGGCTAAGCATTTCTTCCCCACCATTTCCAACAGTCATGGCTGGGCCCAGTGCCCTATCCTGGGCATGGCGCCTGCCAATAAGCACTGTGGGCATTGCCAAGCGCTTCTAGGCACAAGGACAGTGATGCTCCCACAGGAAACTTTCTTCTGGGCCTCAGTCTCCTCCTGAGGAAAGTGGGCTTATTTATCTCATCTCCAAGACAAGACATGCATCAGCACTGTGGTGCTGGCTGCGGGAGCCGCTGGGTGGATGCTCCCTGGGGAGGACTGGGAGAGGCAGGCAGGCAGCTCCAGGGCTTCAGGTGTGCCTGAGCATTGCCTTAGGAGTCAGCGCCTATTTGCCTTCAGGCTCTGGAGCCAGTTTCCACTTGCTCTTCCAGATTATTGTCTGAAGATTAGAAATGACGTCTCGCACTAGTATAGAAAAGATGATCCATTTTAAGTCAGATTCCCTTCTGACATTATTTTGTCTGTTTTTTCCCCTCTGCTAGCCTCATGCTGGCAGCCATTAGTTGGTGTTTGAATTTTAGCTGTGGAGGGCTGGGGCGGGTTTACTTGTCTGAAATTCCAAACTTCTGACTTTCCGTAGTGCCTGCCTCTCCAAATTGTCCCCGGACCTGCTACCAGAGAGATTTCTCCAAAGCACAGCTCCACTGGGAGGTCTTTTGTCGCCTACTGCCAATAAGGTCAACCTCCAGTCCCAGCTGGGAATCACCATCTTTCAGGACTCCCTTTTTCAGCTTTACATTGGTTGACTTGATTTAGTTTAAGTCAAGTCACTGAATGATAGCATTCAGGATTAGGGACAGTGAAATCTCGAAAAACAGGTCCTGAGGTAGGCAGTTGAGACTTCCGGAAGTCAAAGCCTCAGACTCCTTTGACTTTCTCTCTGTCCCATTCTTAATGTGGTCAAAGATGGCTGTGCACCCTTCAGGAATCACGTTTGTATCCCAGCTGGGAGGAAGGTAAAAGGGGAAGAAAAGGGTACAGGATGCACCTGGTAACTACATCCTAAAAGGTTCCTAAGAAACTGGCATCTAACATCTCTCACAAGGGCAGACCTTGTTGGCTGCAAGGGAAGCAGGAAAACCAGTGTTTACTCCAGCCTACCACATGCCCACCTCAAAGTTCTAGGTTTTAATTCTCTCTTTTTTTTTTTTGGTACCAGGGATTGAACTCAGGGGCACTCGACCACTGAGCCACACCCCCAGCCCTGTTCTGTAGTTTATTTAGAGACGGGGTCTCACTGAGTTGCTTTGTGCCTCACTGTTGCTGAGGCTGGCTTTGAACTTGCAATCCTCCTGTCAGCCTCCCAGAGCTGCTGGGATTACAGGTGTGCACTACCAGGCCTAGGCTCTAGGTTTTAATTCTAATGAAGGGAACGGATAGGGAAAATGAAAAAAGGTCCTGAGATCAATATTCTGCCTCTGAACTTTGCTTGACAGGTTTCTTTAGTAATTTTTGTTACCCTTTCTTGAGCTCATTATAACCATTCTTCGAAGACCAGCCCGAGTGTTACACCTCCAGACCCCAAAAAGTATAACGCATAACTCCCTTCAGTGTTCTCATTTCAAATGATCCTCCAGATCTCCAAGCCTGCTGTTACCAAACCCCTTCTCCCTGTCGGCCTTTTCCTGGAGTAGTCCCAGAGCCTCCCTCACCATGCCCACGGTCTCACTGCGCTCTCTACGCCCCAACTCTGTGGGTTTCCCTGCAAAACCTCATCTTAACTTTCACTCCCACAGCCTATGGACCGCCGCCTCTCACTTTCAAGCTTCCCCACTTGCCCACGTTGGCCCTCTGTACGTATCTCCCATCCCACTAATCTAGCAACTGGGAATGGGGAGCTGGGGCTGATCCTGAGCCAGGTGTACAACATGGCAATACCCAGGGGCACCTGCAGGTCATTCCCAGGCTCAAGCTGAAGCTGGGTCCTTTTCTCTGGAGGACATAGGAGCTGCTCCCAGGGGTAACCTGTTTCTGCTGGGAGATGTGTGTGTGCACTCACATGCAACTGAACCCTGTTGGCCAGTTTCCCCAGTGCTCTCTCAGAGCTTCAGGGTATTCTGGCTTCAAGACCCTTTATGATCTGACCCCACCCACCTTTCCCACCCCCTTTCTCATTCCCCTCCTCCTTAGGCAGTAGCTACACTGGATTGTTAGCAACCCCCAAGTCAGGACCCCTCTGGCCTCCAAACTCTCATATTTCTGGCTTTGCTTGGTATACATTTTCCCATTTGGCCTTAAAGATTTCTGTGCTGTGGCTCAGCGGTAGAGTGCTTGCCTGGCATGTGTAAGGCACTGGGTTTGATTCTTCGCACCACATATAAATAAAGGCCCACTGACAACGAAAAACGAATAAAAGATTTCTGTGCACAGGATTTCCACTGGGAATTCTTCCTTGACATCTTCAAGCAGAGCTGGGCCCCTTCTGGTCCCACTCCAAAACCTCACCCTTATATGTAATGGTCTGTCCCTTGCACTAGGCTAAGCAACTTGAGGGCTGGCATGACATCTTTTACTGGTGCGCCTCTCTTTGGGCACACACAAGCCTCTCAATAAATGCTCCCTGAATAAGGCTCTTGAGTTAAGGGTACAGAAGGACAGGTGACAAGGGAGACATCCCAAAGTTTGTTCTTTGCTTTGGGCAAGAGGATCATGAAACAAACACCAAAGAATCACATAAAGTCCCGCTTGTCTTGCCTGAACGAACCTTACCCATGTTTCAGGGTCCTCTTGCCAATGTCTCCTCAAAGAAGCCTCGCCCTGGTTCACAGTCCCGCACATGTGCCTTCTCTAAAGCACCAGTCACTGTGATGGTGACTGTGAGGTTGTTTCATGCAGGTTTTGAGCTGGATGGCTATTGTGGGAACTGTTCTGTGCACTGTAGAGGGGTGTGTGTGTGTGTGTGTGTGTGTGTGTGTTGCTGAGGACTGAACCCAGGGCCTTAAGCATACCAGGCGAGTGCTCTACCAGCAAGCTACACCCCTGCCCTCCTTGTAGACTGTTTAATGTATCATGACCTCCGCCCACTAGGGGTCAATGACAATCTCTTCTCCAAGTCATGGCAGCCCACATGTTCCCAGACATAACCAAATGTCTCTTGGGGGTCAAGTTGCCTCTGGCTGTGAATCACTGGTATAAACTCTACTTCCCTGGTTAGAGTGGAAGCTTCCTAAGGGTTATCCAGCCACCCAAGACCCCATGTCTGCAGTTTCTTCCAGGCTGGGATGATCTAGTTTGGCATTCACTCTTCCAGGCAACAGATCCTCCTGCTCTGGGCTGGGCTACACACTGGCCAGGAAGGGAGTCCAGTCCTCCTTTATGGAAGATTCTCCCCTGTGGGTGTGCAGGCTTAAGGGCAGACACCGTGGCTTACTGGCTGTGACTCTTGCACTCGCTCACCCAAGTTTTGCTTTCAGGTGGTCAGGAAATGATTCGCAGGGACAGGTGAAGGAGAATCAGGGAGGGGCGCTTCCTCGTGCTGCAGGTGGAGGTGCACAGTGTGGCCGCTCTGTAGAGATGACTTCTATTCTTTTTGCCTTTTTTTTTTTTTTAAGGATGTTCAGACTTTATTAGATGCCCAAGGCTGACCTCCCCATCCTCCTGGGGGAAGAGGCAGCAAGTGGAGAGCAGTCTGGGGAAGGCTGGGCCCTAACTGAAGGGCCTGAAGTCAGCCTGGTGGGTCCACTTCCCCCCACCCACTCACTGCCCCTCCAGCTGCAGCTCACATGGTGAGAATCTGCTTGGAAGACACAAAGGGCTCCATGGAGGCTTCCAAGGCCCGCTGGTAGTCCTGGAGTGGGACCTCTGAGCACGCAGGGGCTGTGAGCTGGCCTCGGTGGATGAGGTCACACAGAGTGAGAATCAGCCCCTGGAACTCGTCTGTGGGAAGAAGTCAGATGGGGGACAACAGCTGGGGCTTGGTGAGATGGCAGGTGGACTTCCCGTGGACGCCCTGCCTTTGTTAAGGATGGGGTGGCGGTGGAAGCAGCCTGGTCCCACCTGGATTCAGGACAGTGAGGGCCAAGATGGGGTCAGAGGACGAGGGGTGGGAGCCGAGGAGCTCCTGGGCAGGCAGAGACCCTTCTGAGTGGTGGCTAACATGGCTCACACCCACACAGTGCTGCTGGGACGGGGCTGGCTACTGATAGGCAGGAGGGTGGGGACCATTATTTGGAGGCAGGGAAGGCAGAGGGCCCCAGGAGGGAGGTGGGAGAGCCTGCCACACCAGCTCACGTGGAACAGATGAGCTCTGCTCTCCCTAAGGCCCAGGACTCCCTCAGAACCCCTCGAGCTGAGGCCACTGCCCTCCCCTCCCTGAACCTGCCTCCTGCTAAGGACCCAGTATGGTGCTGGAAGAGGTCAAGTAAGCCTTGGCCGAGGTGCTTTTCATAGACATAGCCTCATTCAACCTTCGAATCTAATCCTTTGTCCTGCTTAAAAACACTTAGTGACTCCCCAGTTGCCTTCAGGACAGAGCCTGAACTCCTTAAAAAGGCTTAAGGCCTTTTGTAATTGGTCTGAACCTGCCTGTCCAGCTTCCCAGCCCCAGCCCAGACTGAAAGCTCCACTCCCTCAGGACCACGGTGGTGCCCCATGAGTCACACTCTCTTTTATGGGCTTTTGCTGTTTCTGCCTGAACACCCTCGGCCCAGCAGGGCACCCTCCCTTCACTTGATAATTCCATGTCAGTTTTCCTTCTCAGCTGAGGTCTCTCTGGGGTGCAGGTCCCTGGGACAGGAAGAACAGCATGCCGTGGCTCAGGTTCTGGAGTCAGAGAGCCTATCTGCTGGCTGCCCCGCTCTCTAGGTGGGGTGACTCTGGGCAAGCTCAGCCACTCTGTTTTTTTTTTTTTTGGTACCCCAGGAATTAAACCCAGGGGTGCCTACCTACTGAGCTACATCCTCAACCTTTTTTTTTTCTTTTTTCTTTTTTTAGACAGAGTCTCACTAAGTTGCTAAGCCTGGCTTTGAACTTGTAATTCTCCTGCCTCAGCCTCCTGAATCTCTGGATTATAGGGGTGCGCCTTTCTAGCCACTCTGAACCTTAGTTTCCTCCTTTGTCAAACATGGCTCACAAGAGTTTAAATGATCATGATGTTGGAGCCGAGGTAGAGATCCAGCAACCTGCCCCAGGTCCCACAGGTGGGCTAGGCAGGACCTAGATCCCATGAGGGTGGACACAGGACTTAAACACAGGCGGGCTGGCTCCAGTCTGCCCTCCTTACTTGGTCGTCTTCCCCACTGTCGCTGTCAAGAGCACTGTCTTATTCTACACTGTGGCCCTACAACTAACAGTTTAGTCCAAGAACATTGCTGGCTGCAGCTGTGGCTAGAATGATTTTCCTTTATCCTGCCATGGTGTTGAGGACCCAGTCACCTCTGTAGGGCTCAGTGTAGCTGGTCCCTTCTGCAGCCATGCTAGGAACTCCTGTCTCCTGTGACCTTTGGTAACAGGGCCATCACCCACTCACCTGGACTGTGATCTTTCTTCCATTGCGACAACCAAAAGCCCCGAAGTTTGAGGTCCTTAAAAATGAGCAGGCTCTGTGGACACAGGAGGGACATACTGGGCTGGAAGGGTAAAACTTCCAGGTACCCGTTAAGGGTATGGAATCCCCCCAGGGACAGGAAAATGGTCAGAGTGTGGTGCCAAGGGAACAGGCCGAGGCATCTGGGCCCATCTGCTGGCATCCTCCCCGCAGCTCACCACAGGCGCTGTGACGGGCTGCTTGGCCATCCCCCCGTAGGTCACCATGGTTCCTCCAGACCTGAAGAGTCCAAAGAGAACAAAGAGTGGATGCAGGCCGAGGAGAGGCCTTCTTGAACCTGCCACAGCACTTCTACTCCTCACTTTTAAACCTTGTCCTGGGAAGGGCAAAAAAAAAATAGATCCCTACGCTCAACCCTGACAGAGGGAGTCAGGAGGCAAGAATCTATACCAACAGCACGCACCACCGTCCAGATGAATGGGGTGCTCAGCGGCGCTGGGAACCCACGGATCCCACTCACCCAGTCTGGGTTTGCATCCCGCCATCTAGCTCCAGCTCTGCTCCCGCTTACAAGAGGGTGACTTTGGGACCTTGGGAGACCTAAGGGAAACGGCCCAGACCTTGGCGTTTCATGTGTAAATGCTCATTCTAAAAATCAGTGCCCCAATACTTCTACAGATAGGAGTGAGTGTGGGTGGTGAAGGGGACAATGACGAATGTCCTGACCCTGCAGGAGGTGCTGCCTCAGTAGCTGCTGAGTGATACACACACTTGGTTGTACATAGGAGTGAGGTGAGTATAATTTTTAAAAGCTAATAAGCTAGGACTTGTCATGCTTGACTTGACCTTTGTTCCCCTCCTGACTCCCTGGCTCTTTTAGGAGTCTGAGGTCAAGGATGACCTGAAGTGTGTTTTAGGACAATACAAGGCAGACTTACAATCTACAAAATGGAAGAGCTGAGTGACTATGGCCCTGAGGCTGCTAGGGAGTTTAATCATTTTCTTGTATGTTAGCACTGGGGGTTGAACCCAGGGCCTCCTGCACATCACCCACTTGTTCTACCCGAGCTGCAGCCCCAGGCCCTAATTTGATCTAAAGTTCCCTTCAACTGGTGCTTGCTATAGAATGCAGTTCCTGAGGGGACTGAGCCCTCTCTCCTCTGTGTCCCTGCTGCACTTGGCTGATCAGACTTTTACTGTCTACAATGCCAGGCACAGTTCTGAGCATGTTGCGTGTACCATCTCAGGGCATCCTCATAGTGACCCCAAGGGAACACTTGGATACGCTCATTTTGCAAATGAGAAAACTTAAATCCATTCCTCAACTGAATAATGAGTTATTTGTATATCGTGCAGTGTCCTTTAGATTATTCTTGGAAGCAGAATGGGTTTCTATCACTCCCACTGTAGAGATGAAGGGGCTGAAGCTTGGATCATTTTTCAGGTATTGCCTAACTTTCCACAGGTCCACAGCTGGCAAGAGCAGAGTTAGGGCTGGAACCTAGCCACTCTGACTCCAATGCCTACACTTGTGACCAGCGCACAATGCTTTCTCTGGCAAAGACATGGGGGTCACAGTTTGCCTAAGAGGTTGCTAAGTTTAGGGCTCAAGAGATGTTCTCCAGAGTCATGCAAACTTGGGTGACCTGGCTCTCTGCTGACTACACCTTTGGCAAAGTAATTACCTCCTCTGGGACTCATTTGCTTTAAGTGTAAAATGGAGGTGAGAGGCCTGGGGGTGTAACTTGGTGTCAGAACATGTGTCAGTACACATGGCCTTGGGTTCAACTTCCAGCACCAAAGAAGGGGGGAAAAACAGAATTAAAACACTTCAAACAGCACACACAGAGGCAGGTGCATGTGCTCAGTGATCCTCCGCCCAGCTCTCTAGTCACGTGGCTCATCTGCCCACCTAGTCCGTGAGTTCTCCGCAGTGTCTCAGCCAATTCTGTCCCTGGTAGCTAGTGAATGCTCAGCAGATTATTAACTAAATCAGTGTGGAGGGGACTCCTGCTCTAGTTGGCAAGTCTTTTCAGGGGCTCTCCAGCTGACGTTTATGTCAGAGGAAAGGACAGAATGTGCACAGATAATGCTGCCATGGTGCTTGGCTGAGGGATGAGAGAACCTTTAGGTTTTTCTTTGTACTTTTACATGTTTCAAAATGTTTTGAAATAGGTATAATGTTACTTGTAAATTAGAATCTAGTTTTAAAAGCTAATAAAAATTTTAAAAGCTACCAAGTTCAGACTAAGTGACTTTTAAGAGGCCCCAAATTTATGAATCCTTGACCATCCTGTGATGGAGAGCTTAGCAGTTGATTGCTGGAGTCCCTGGGAAACAGGTCTCTTGGTCCCATATAGGAGGAGACTGAGAAAGAAGTGCCCAGGGAGCTGGATGTTTTTGGTCCTTGTTTCCTACTCAACGTTGTGCTAATCTGGTTTTGGCTCACATTGACCATTGGGACTTGGTCACTTGATGTCCTCCCAGCCAGTGACCTAGAAGCTTGAGCAAACTAGCCCTGTAGGGTAGAGGGACTTACGCTAAATGCCGCAGCAACTCTGTGGAGCTTTTCCCGCCAACACAGTTGAGAGCAAGCCGTGGCTGGGGTGTGTTCTGGAAAACAAGAAGTCTGCCGTGAGGGAGCTACCCCTTTACACGTGGGTTTGAAGCTTCTACAAATACTTCCCTGACCCATGCAGTGTCAAAAGGAGGGAGTGAAGGGAATGGGGTGGTCATGGCTTTGAACTTGCTTTTTCTGCCTGGGAGGAGCCTTTAGCAACTTCGGAACAGGCTTTACAGAGGCAGGTGCTCTGTGATCCTCCTCCCAGCTCTCGGGTCACATGGCACATCTGCCCACCTAGTCTGTGAGTTCTCCCATAGTATCTCAGCCATCTCTGTACCTGGTAGACAGTGAGTGCTCAGCATGTGTTAACTGAATCAGTGTTCGATTCAGGACTTGGTTCAAAACATGCCTCCTCCGGGAAAGAAGAGACATGGAGCATCTGTGGTCAGTTTTGAGCGGCTTTAGGTCCCTGAGTGCTCCTTCGCTGGGTACTTTAGACTCTGTTTACATGTGATGTGTTGGTCTAGAGCTCCAGAAACGTTCTCAAGGGGCATACATTCCTGAGTGGGTGCATGTGTTTGGTGTCTCCAGCTGGTTCACTTAACAGGGGTGGTGACAGGGTTTGCTCACTTACTGGGAGTTGTGGGACGAGGGCAGACGTTGTGGAAGGGCCAGGGCTCTACGTTCAGAGACCCCTGGGGCCAGCCCTGATGCACTACTTATATCTATATGATTCTGGTCAAGTCATTTATCTTTTCTGAGTGTGGGTTTCCTCATTGAAAGAGACTCAGGACTCGGGACTTACCTGGGAATTATCAGGTAAAACGGAGGCAGAAGCTTAGGAATGGTTGACTCTTTTCTCTTCCCTCTCTGTGCCTCAAGTTTCCTCAGGTCCTCTCCCAACTCTAAGATTTATATCTGCAGTACGGGCTGATGTAACTCAGCATAAATGTTTTAAACTGCAAATCATACAGGATTTTCTAAGCTTTCTTAGTTTCCCCTGCTTCCCTCAAGCATCTGAACACTTCATGCAAGCTGCCCCTCGGCTAAGGGAACAGGCTTTACAAGAGGCAAAAGGAGGGGTGCAGACAGGAGCAAAAGCTTTCCTTAGGAGATGGGCGTGGGATGGAGAAGCAATGCCCTTTCCCTGGGTACCTTGAACAAGTTTTTTGCTTCTTGCTTTCTTAGTTCCTCCTCTGTGATGACATGCTCGGCCCCCAGATCCTTTAGTCTGTCCATCAGTTTCTGGATGTCAGGCCTGAAAATCAAACCCAATCCAAAGTCCCTCATCATACCTGCTGGCTTTCTCTCCCCAAAGCTGCCAGGACTCCTCTGCTACAGCTGTAAGAATCCATATTTCTTTTCTGGGAGGCTGGGATTGGGTTAAGCCAGGCCTCGAGCAGGGGCCAGCCACACAATTCAATCCTGTGCCAGCAGCTCCTAGCCTTGTTTCCTTGCCGGCCATTCCTCCCTGGACAGAGCCAGGGCTGGGAGGTTTCTGCAGCCTCTGCCAGCTCAGGGGTGCTAGAAACCATCTGTGCCCAGAAAGAAGTGATCCCACTTCCTAAAATTTTCTACTGAAATAATAACCTCCCCCGACTTTTCCAGGGGCAATCAGGGTGTTGTGCAAACGCAAACACACTGTGGCCGAGGAGTGGCCCTGGTCTCTTGGGCAAGAATCAGAGAACGAGCCTGTTGCCGACTCTTCCTGAACAAGCTGCCTTCTCTCTCTGAAACTCAGTTTCCTCATCTGTAAAAGAGAGGAGAAACCTGCTCCATCTCCTTCACAGTAGAATTTAGTGCACAAATGCATGGGGAAGAGGGGCCCAGGGCTTGACAATTCGCAGGAAGAACAGTACAGCTCAAAACATTCCCACATGTTCACTGTGGTTGTAAACACATGGGGGTATCAGAAGTCGTTTCCAAAACTCCTAGCTGTTCAGTAACAACAATCTCCACCTCCTTCCCGTGTCTCCACATTTCAGATTCACTCATCCTATAACCAAGTGCCACCTGGACTTCATTTCTTGGGGCTGACTCATCAGCTTCAGCTGCCAACTGTTCCTCAGTAAAGGAGGCCAGTTAGGCTTATGCAATGGCGCCCTCTGGTGGAGATATGAGCACTGGCAGGGATGCCAGAGGAAAAGGTCCAAGTCATGATCTGGAATTAGGCCTCCCCACCCACCTGTCTCGGACTACATTGATGGTCCTTAGGCCCAGGGCTGCGGCGATCTGAATGACTGCTTGCCCCACTCCACTGTTGGATGCATTCTGGATGACAGAGTCCCCTGTGGATCCAGGAAGAGACCCAAGTCAAGCCTTGCACACCTGAAAAAGGTCAAGGACTCCCAGCCTGGGATCCTAGGATAGTGGAAGAGGTGAAGTGTTCAGGCCCCAAAAGGACCCAGGATCTGGCATTGAAGCCTTTGGAACTCAGATTTTGGACCTTAACGCACTGTTTCCTCGATCTTCCCAAACTTCTGTAACATCCATTATGCCTTCCAGAACTGGTCACTTAGTGTCCACAGAGGACATAATTTAAGGCCCAACTGGTTTTATATCCTTCATCATCCTCCCAACTTCTGTGTCCTCTGTGTCTGCTTAGATTATTTCCTTGGGTTGAAACTGATCCCCTCCTTTTAACATCCTATGTGATCCTCAAAGATCAGCTCAAGTGTGGTTCTTCATGGAGCCCTCCTGGGTTCTCCCTGTTGTGCTTCCACACAGGCTGTGAGTGTCTCTACTGATCACATGCTGTGGCCCCAGCCCACAATCAGTTGTAGAGGCGGCGTCTATCAACTTGCAGCTTCTCAAGGGAAGGGCTATGTAGTAGTGAATAAAGGTGTACTGCTTTGAAATAGGATTAAGAGTTTTGATGGAAAAACTCGGGCTGGGGATGTGGCTCAAGCAGTAGCATGCTTGCCTGGCATGCGTGCGGCCCGGGTTTGATCCTTAGCACCACATACAAATAAAGATGTTGTGTCCACCGAAAACTAAAAAATAAATATTAAAAAATTCTCTCTCTCTCTCTCTCCTCAAAAAAACAAAACAACAACAACAACAAAAACCAAACTGGCAACCCCTGAAACAGGGTCCTGCAGGCAGTTTGTGGTCAAAGCACAGGACTGGCTTTGGAACTTGCAGTGGGGGAGGCAGTGGGGCACACTAGGGAGAACATGGCTCTGGAACAGATGGAACTGGGTGAGTCCCAGTTTTACCAGTGACGAACTAGACAAGACAAGGCAAGTCGTGTCCTTTTTGAACTTCAGTTTTCTCCTCAGAAAACAGGAATCCTAAGAGCACCAATCAAGGTGCCCCTGACTGGAATCAAATGCTCTTGTGTCCAGGCAGGTGCTCTGTTAGCTATGAAATGCTCCCTGGTGTTTGAGAGGTATCTGGGATCTGTGCACAGTGGGTGGAGCTAGAGACAGAGGGCTCCTGAGAGAAGACTGTTCACACTCTGCCAGGGTCAGCATATAGGTTCTCACTCCCTAGTGCACTGTGACTCAATCTAGAGGGTCACAGGCAGCACTGTTTTGTTTTAGTTAGATTTGAGAAGAATAAAAAATAACAGTGCATCTCACAGGTAAAGGACAAATACTGTGCTGTGAAGATTTGGTTTCATATATATTTATAATTTTCATACATGTGTATGTACTAGATAACAATGTGAAATGTGATTCTTACTATGGGTCAAGATTCTAGGTTTGTTCAATGCTGATCTAGCCCGGGCTACAATAGCCTTGAAGCAGACAAGTGGAAAAGGGTCCAGTGGGCACGGTGGGTATCATCAAAATGTGCAGATTTGTCCACCACAGCTGCAGCCCAAATCAGGAGTGGTTTGAGGGGATGTAATGCAGGTGCCACAGTGTCTGCTATACTAGGACTCCAGCAGAGGTCCCTGGTCCCACCTCCTGACTTTTTCCATGGAAAGCTCCCAAGACTCCTCTGCATAGCCCTGAAAAGCCACACTGCTCTCCATGAGCTGGGATCAGTGTCCCCCCAGGCCTCAGGCAGCAGCTTCCTACCCAGCTCCATCACATTCCATCAGCACGTGGCTTCAGTGTCCTTGCTGGCATGAGAGAGGCAGCCTGGGGCATTTCTATAGTTCCTGCCAGCTCATGGATATGCAGGGTGCAGGGGCAACTTGCAAAAGGTGGGGGTGTGGGGGCTGGGGGTGCAGCTCAGTGGTAGAGTGTTTGTCTAGCAAGCATGAGGCCCAGAGTTGGATCCCCACTATTGCAAACCAAACCAAACCAAACCAAACCACGGGGGATGGGAGTTGGTGGAAAATTGGCCCAGCCTCCTGTCACTTGGGGCTAATTCTAGAGTGAGCTCCATGAGGGTCTCTGTGGAGTCCTAGTGGGACTGAGTCGGGTTGCCCACAGCACTAACTGGCCTTAATGTCTTTGCCTTCCTGTGACCACTACCCAAAAGAACTGCCTGGTCCCACTCCTGGTCTAGGGCTCTGCTTTCAGGGGAACCCAGATAAAACACATGGCTTTGTTGTTTACTTGCTGAGGAACTTCTTGCAAGTAGTTCACCTCTCTAAGGAAGACTAATAAAAGCAGCTGGTACTTCATGCCCAGCAGGCCGGCTGCTGTGCTAAGTGTCATGCTGCTGTGGTTCATCAACCCTCCTTATTCTCCATCCTAAGGATGAAAACTCTGCTGACTTGAGCCATGAGTTCAGTTAGTGAAGGTGAAGCTGGGTTCAGACCTAGGTTGTGTGCCTGGGCCTTGAGCTCTTAACCAGTGACATTAAGCTCCCTGCACAGCTTTGAAGGCGAAACACTCCATGGGGATAATGCCTGCACACGCACCTACGGATGGAAAGTGCTGTATTAATGCTGAGCAGAATTAGTAACACTAAGTTCAGCATTTTACTGAAAACACAGAGACTGTGTCTATCTTGTCTGGCTTTGTGTCCCCAGAGCTTAGCACAGCTCAACACATTTTTGCTGAGTGACAGAATTCCATCCCAAGCTCTAGGGAATGTGACCCTGTAGCAGTTTCCAAGGTTGTACTCCTTGTGAGCTCGCAGGGTGTTTTCTAGGAACCAAGTTAACATCTTTTATATATATATTTTCAGTTGTGGATGGAAAAATACCTTTTTTAAAAAAATTTATTTATAGGGCTGGGGATGTGGCTCAAGCGGTAGCGTGCTCGCCTGGCATGCGTGCGGCCCGGGTTCGATACTCAGCACCACATACAAACAAAGATGTTGTGTCCGCCGAAAACTAAAATAAATAAATAAATATTAAAAAAAAAATTTATTTATGTGGTGCTAAGGATTGAACCCAGTGCCTCACACGTGCTAGGCAAATGCTTTATCGCTGAGCCCCAGCCCCAGCCCCCAAGTTAACATCTTCCTAAGTAAAAACGATAGCAGCACACTTGTTGAGGCAGGGGCCCCTCATCTTCCCAGGCCTTCCACCCCCCAGTCAGGATCTGGGTGCACCCTGGTGAGGAGGCCCTGGCCTGCTTTCCCTACTTGTAAGTTCCTACCTGGCTTCAGCTGCTCAAAGTCCACCAACATCCTGTAGGCTGTGCAGGGGTTGACACCCAGGGTGGCAGCACTCTGAAGAGGGATGTCATTGGGAACTTGGATCAATGCTTTCTCACTGAACACGGCCTCGGTCTGCCAGGTTCCTGAGTCAGGGGATGAGGCCAGGTTAGTGAGGAGGATCCCTCTGCCCACCAAATCCCAGATCAGTCTTTGGTCCATGGACATCTAGGACAGTAGATTTTAAGTAATGCTTAAAGGAAAAGGAAAATCTTGAAGTCCCCTTTGAAGTCTTTGAGTCCTCATGATGATTACACAAGTACGTTTTGTTATTCCTATTTTAAAAATGTGGTAGGGGAGGTTCGAAGAGGTTGCCTCACTGAGTTATTGGATTTAGCTGATGTCACAGCACTAGTGCCTGAGGACCCCAAGCTACTAGACTCTGAAGGCAAGACAGTAATGCAACAGTAGGGCAAGGGAAGCCAAGAAAGCCCCCTTTCTCGCCATATCCTCATTCTCCTCCAGGGCGGGCTGCCTGGGCTGGTGTTAGGAAACAGTGTCAAGGCAGAAGTCAAGGGCTCAGATTTGGCACCTGGGTTTTCTCTTTTCTTTCTTTTTTGCTTTTCTGGTTCTGGGGATCGAGCTGGGGGTGCTTTACTGTTGAGACACATTCTAGCCTTTTTTATTTTTTGAGACAAGGACTCACTAACTTGCTGAGTAGCCTGGGCTGGCCTTCAACTTGTGATCCTTTGTCTTAGCCTCCTGGGACACTGGGATTCCAGACATGCATCACAGTACCTGGTGGTACTTGTTTTTTCTAGTCTGTTAGTTTGATCAAATTCCCAAGCCACTGAGTTTTGTGATTCTAAAGTATAAATGACACTGGTAAGAACAGCCTTATTGGCTTTCCTAGGAGCTGTTGTGAAAATCAAATGAAATACAGGAGACTAAGAAATCCTGTAAACTGGAAGAAATGATCATTAACCACCAGCCCACATTCTACGTCCAGACAAAGAATCATAGACTATTGGTACCGAGAAGGCCTTTATCAAGTATCAAACCCTTCCCGCAATGAGAGGCACTGAGGGAGGGACCTGCCCAAAGACATGGGGGTAATCTGGGTAGAGCGTGAGCTAGACCCTGGGTGTGTGGGCTATCTCCATGGCCAAGTACATAAAACACACACGTACACACACTCACATTCACACATACTCACAAACCTATGTTCATTCAACTGATCCTTTCTTCGTTTCTTTTTATTTTTTAATAGATGGGGTCTTGCTGTGTTTCCCAGGCTGGCCCTGAACTTCTGGACTCAAGTGACCCTCCTTCCTTAGCTCTTTGAGTAAATCTGACTATACGCACTCACCACCATGCTCAGCTACATTCCTTACATTCATTCTAGAGGAGCAGAGCAGGTGAAAAACAAACAGGCAAATACAAGAATTAAAACTTATTATTTTTTTGGTACTGGGGATTGAACCCCGCAGCACTTAACTACTGAGCTATATCCCCAGCCCTCTTTTATGTTTTATTTTGAGATAGGGTCTCACTGAATTGGGGCCTCACTAAGTTGCTGAGACTGGCTTTGAACTTGCAATCCTCCTGCCTCAGCCTCCCGAGTCACTGGGATTACAGGTATGTGCCACAACCGGCAAAAATTATAATTTATAAAGAGACAGTAGCAGGAGAGGGATTTAGGTGGATGGCTAGGACAGAGATATTAACCACTTCAAGTACACAAAAAACATTCTATGCAGAGGAAAAAGCATATGCAAAGACTCTGAGGCAAGACATATAAAAGGATGGGACTGGGCAGGCTGGGGTTGTGGCTCAGTGGTAGAGCACTTGCCTAGCATGTGTGAGGCCCTGGGTTTGAGTCTCAGCACGGCATATAGATAAATGAATAAAATAAAGGTCTATCCACATGTAAAAAAAATTTTTTTTAAAAAAGGATGAAATGGAAGAATACACACTGGAGGGCAAAGAGTGCTGGGAGGAGTGGCTTGAGATGCTGAGAGTCATACAGACTTTCAGGACCTTGACTCATGGTAACCACGAGTTCCACTGTGAACTAGTACACACATATACACAACTGAGTATATATACAGAAGCCAGAGTTTCATGGAACAATATACATCCTTACTCTGTGCTACAGTTTGGATCTGAAAGGTCCTCCAAAGGCCCAAGTATGGAAGACTTGATCTATAGCCTGTAGCACTGTTGGGAGATGGGCCCCAGTGGAAGGAAGTTAGGTCAATGGGAGTGTGACCTTGAAGGGTCTATTGGGACTGTGACCCCTTCTCTTACTCTTTAAAAAAATTTTTTTTAGTTGTAGATGAACACAATACCTTTATTTTATTTCTTTATTTTTATGTGGTGCTGAGGATGAACCCAGTGCCTCACATGTGCTAGGCAAGTGCCCTACCGCTGAGCCCCAGCCCCAGCCCTCCTCTTATTTTTTATTTGCTTCCTGGCCACCACAAAGTAGACAGGCTTCCTCTGCCATGTGTTCTTGCCATGATGTTCTGTCGCCACAGGCCCAAGGCAATAAGAACAACTAACTGATCATGGACTAGAAGCCGTGAAACCAAAATACACCTTTCCTTTTTTATCTCAGATATTTTGTCATAGATATGGAAAGCAAACATACTATGTGTGATATACTCTGCTATTATTTTTCTATTCTGCTTAATTTTAGTAATAAGAAAAAAATTCCATTTGTAACCCACTAGATTGATGTCACTAATCTGCAGTTTAAAAGCATGGGGCTCAGGACCATAGCACAGAGAGTGGGTTTTATTTAGAGACTGGCAAGACTCTAATGAGCTTTGAGGGCCAAGGTGGTCTCATGTCTGCTCTAAAATCATTCTACTGCTGGGGGAAGAGCCCGGTGGGGAGAGGCAGTGTGGAAGCGGGTGGGTGCAGCCAGGAGGCTTTTGTGGGGGACGAGGTCTCTGATGATGGCCGCCTCAACTAAGACTGGCAGTGGGGATGAAGAAGAAAGGGTGGGCTTGAGCTCTCCTTTGGAAACATAATCAACAGGATTTGGTGAGGACTGGACAAGGGGACAGGCAGGATGGGGTATGAAGAAGACGTGAAGAGAACAGGTCTTGGGGTCACACTCAAGCTTTGCCTCCACACATCCTCACTGTAGCATCTTGGAGAAACCGTGTGGAGACTTGCTGGCTTAGTGCCTGGTGGCCCTGATGTGGCAGGGGCCCTTGGCCTGACTTCCCAAGCCCTCAGCTAGGCCTGCTATCTAGTTCCTGGGAGTCTCTCAATGTCCTGGTACCGTGTGGCCCAGTTGTGGGAAGCAGGTGGTAGCCCAGGTTTTAGTCATCTTTTGTGTCATTGTGACCAATAGACCCAACCAGAGCAACATAGAGGAAGAATTTTGTTTTGTCTCACAGTTTCAGAGGTTCAGTCCATGGTCAGCCAACTCCATAACTCTGCGCAGAGCATCATGGTGGAAGGGCGTGGCAGGGGAAACCAGTTCAAGAAATGGCAATCAGGAAGCATAGAGTGAGCTCTGTTAATCAGGGACAAACGGTAAACCCTAAAGGCACGCCCTCAGTGACCTGCTTCCTCCAGTCATACCCTACTAACCAGTAGTTATCTCCCAGTTAATCCATTTCAGTGGACTAATCCACTGATTAGGTCACACCTCCCATGATCTAATCAGGTCAACTCTGAACATTCCTGCATTGTCTCACACAAGAGCTTTTGAGAATACCCCATATCTAAACCATAACAACCAGGCAATTACCAATTGTGCCACAAGAGCGACAAACAACATGGACTTTAGGGGCCAGGACTGGGGAGGAGAGGAGGAACATGCTATTAAAGGTCATGCAGGTTCTAGAGTAGGTCTGAGAACATATGAGATGAAATTAAAGGATCCCTTTGGCATCCAAAAGATGCCTGGGCATTTTCTAGGGTTCACCCAGTCTGGTTCATAATCATCAAGCCCATTCCCCTCAGCCGTCATTGACTACACTCAGAGCCTGGTGTGAGGCCTTCCAGATGTAAAATCAAGGGTGTTTTCTTTTTCTTTTTTTGGTACCAGGGATTGAACTCAGGGGCACTCGACCACTGAGCCACATTCCCAGTCCTATTTTGTATTTTATTTAGAGACAGGGTTTCACTGAGTTGCTAAGCATCTCATGTTGCTGAGGCTGGCTATGAACTCGCGATTCTCCTGCCTCAGCCTCCCAAGCCGTGGGATTACAGAAGGAATATGCTACCGCGCCTGGCTTCAAGGGTGTTTTCTAATTCCTTTTACCGCAGGACAATGGAAATTCAGCCTTTGACAGGGATTTCTAGGATTCAGCAGTCCCTAACTCTCTTCTCAAGAGGTCCTGGGTGAGATGGTCAGCAAGAAGGGCTTTCAGGGTTTATAGTAGAAATCCTCAGATTCTAGAGTTGGAGATATCTACTTAAAAATGGGCTCTGCCACTTCAAATTATCACTCCACCTTTTTTGTTTTTTTGGTACTGGGAGTTGAACTGGGGCGCTTTACATTGATCTAAGCCCTAGCCCTTTTTATTTTCTATTTTGAGATAGGGTCTTACTAAATTGCTTAAGACCTTGCTAAGTTGCTGAAGTTGGCTTTGAACTTTCAATTCTTTTGCCTCAGCCTCTATGCTGCTGGGATTACAGGTGTGTGCCACCATGGCTCACTCAACCTTTCTTGAGTTTCAGTTTTCTGATGCATAAAATGCAGAGAAGAACACTTACAGTGCCAAGGTTACATGAGAGGACATCTATACAGATTATCACTGTGCCCAGTACACAGTAGGTGTACAGTAGGTGTATAACACATGTTGGTTTCTTTAACTGATCCTGATTCCCAGGCATCAGCTCTAAGGCATACCATTCTTCAGTCCTGGGCGACTGACCCTTAAAGATCTCTAGCACCTAATATGGGGCTGAAAACTATGGCCTATGGCCCAAATATGACTTATAAATATTGTTTGTTTTTGTGGTGCTGGGGACTGAACCCAGGGCCTTGGGCATCTGAGGCAGGCACTCTACCAACTGAGCTATACTGCCAACCCCATAAATTGTTTTTATAAATAAAAGCTTTACTGGAACACTGCCATACTCACTTGTTTATGTAATATCTATGCCTGTTAAAATGGCAGGGTTGGGTAGTCACAGTAGAGATGGGATGGTCTGCAAAGACTAAAATTATTATTATTTGGCTCTTCTAAGAAAAAAATTTGCCAGCTCCTAATCAGATGTATAGAGAAGTTCAGCATTTGCAAAGATTACTGTTTATATTCCCTCAGTTGAGTTAAGAGTCTGTTGAGGTATCTGAGGCAGCAACTTAATAGTTGCTCCATTGAATTGAATTGATTTTTTGGTACAGGGATTGAACCCAGAGGTGCCTAACCATAGAGCCACATCCCCAGACCTTTTTATGTTTTATTTTAAGACAGGGTCTTGCCAAATTCTTAGGACCTTGCTAAGTTGCTGAGGCTGGTTTTGAACTCTTGATCCTCCTGCCTCAGCCTCCCAAGCTGCTGGGATTACAGGTATGTGCCATGGCACCTGGCTATTAGCTCCATTTTAGAGATGAGGAAATTATGGCTTAATGTAGTTGTGACCTAAACAAGGTCATAAAACAGAGCTGGAACAAGAATATGCATCTGAATGCCAGGCCAGTACTCCTTCTGTGCCACCTCACGAAGGTTTTGAGTGTTTCCCAGTGAGAATGCCAGTTGGCGAACATCCATCTGTGCTCTACAGCCCATTCTCTGCTGCATTTGGGAAAAAGCTGGCTGTGGGCATAGCCACAGCTGGGCAGCTCAGCACTATGAAAAATGACCGTGATCTGGTTAGACATTAGTTTTAATGAATGCTATTTTAAAAAATATTTATTTATTTATTTATTTTTAGTTGTAGTTGGACACAATACCATTATTTTATTTATTTATCCCTATGTAGAGCTAAAGATTGAACCAGGGCTTCACGTGCGCTAGGCATGTGCTCTATCGCTGAGCCACAACCTCAGCCCATGAATGCTGTGTGTTTGTGTGTGTGTGTGTGTGTATGTGTGTGTATGGTACTGGGGATTGAACCCAGGGTTGCTCTACCACTGAGCTATATCCTCAGCCCTTTCATTTTTTATTTTGAGAAAGAATCTCACTAAGTTGCTCAGGCAAGCCTCCCGCTCAGCTTCCCAAGTGGTTGGGATCACAGGCGTGCACCACCATGACCAGCTGATAGCTACTCTTACCACTGTGTCCTAGAGTCTAGCACTCTGTAAAAGCTCACAAAGTATTTACTAAAAAACTGAGTTAACTATATTCTTCATGATTCTAAAATCCTCATCTTCTCCAACTGGCTCCTTGTCCAAAAGACTGACCTGTTCTGCAGGAAGGAATCCCTGTTGTGGCTAATCCTACCATCGTACTTGGAGTGGAGTTACCCACACACCTGGCAGATCATCTTTATCCTTCTCCTCTCCAAATCTGGAGTCCTCCTGAGTCCTGTTACTTTGGCTCGAGTCCTCTCCAGTCCTGTGACACTGTCTTGCTCAGACCCTCCTCACCTGAGCCCTGAACTCCCTGTCTCCACCCTCTGCCTTTCCAGACCTTTCTCTGCTCTGAACACATCATCCTGTATCCCTCTACTTGACTCTCTGTTGGGTCCTGGGCTGGTTGCGAGCACTCCATGATACAGCCTCCTCAACCTCCCCGTTCCATCTGGCTCTCTCCCGCTCCCAAGGGACCTGGGCTTGTTGCATTACCAGTGGCTCTGTCACCACCTTGCCTCTTCTCTTCCCCTCTGTGCAGATGCACTCCCTCTCTGGGAAGCCCCTCCTCACCTGGCCACGGCTGCACTTCTAGTTGCACTTCTAGAAGGGCTTCTAGATGAAGTTGGTGGGCCGCTTCTCTGGGAGTCCTTTCCAATGCTTCTCACTAGGAAACCCCATCCTCTGTGCACCCTATGATCGCAGCACTCACACTGCCTGAATTACAGGCTGCTTCTCCCTTTGCTGGCCTTCTGTCAGCCAAGAGAACTCTGAGGGCAGGGACTGTTTGACCCATCTTGCGTGCCCTTCACTCAGCCCTGGGGGCCAGCCCAAGGTGCTGGCATCAGTACCTACCGTGTCCTTGCAGCTGGGGGCGGGGCTCTGTCACAGCTAGGTGGGTGAAGGAGCAGGTGGAGCCATTCTTGGCAGCTTCTCAGAGCTCAGAAGAGCAAAGAGCTCAGTAGGAGATGTCTGTTCCTGCTGGTTTCCTGCCTGCCACCTTTCTCTCTCTAGAAGGGTTCCTTTCTAACCTCTGGGCCATCTACCACCAGGTCTCACCTTCTGTACCACAGAGGTGGGCAAGACTCAAGGGACAATTGCAGTGGCTCCACCAGTGCCCCAAGTGACTGGCTTATGGACAGGCAAGGACCCAAGAAGGGCCATCCAGGGCTGCTCAGGGATGGAGACGGTAGTGCTGGTTGTGACAGCGCTGAATGTGCTCATCTGTTCCAGGATGAGGCATATTCCAGGCTGCTGGTGGCTGTCTATGAATAGTATGTATCAGAGTGGATCTGAGTCTTAGCTCTGCCTCTTACTGACTGGGTGACCTCACGCAAGTTGGTTAATTCTTTACATTTACTTTTGTCTCATCTGCAAAATGAGGTAGGAATAATTGATTTAATAAACAAAAAGTGCTTAAAATAATGTCTGGCTCAAAGAGAGTAGTCAATAAATATCTCTTGCTATAATTATGTCACTGTGTAAGGATGGCTCACCTGGGAACCAGTGACGAGAGAGAGCCCTGACCGTGTTAGGCTTCCTGGGTCCCCTGTGCCTGGGACTTTCAATCTCTTACACTTTTCAGCTCTACAGATCAATTAAATTCTTCTTTTTTTTAAGGTAAGTATGAGTTGGTCTCTGTAAGTTATAACCTAAAGGGTCTTTTGGGGGATGGTTCTGGGATTGACCTAGGGCCATATGCATGCTAGGCAAGCCCTCTATCAGGGAGCTACACCTCCAGCCCCTGATGTATCTTCTTTTTTCATTTTTTTGTGGTGCTGGGGATTGAACCCAGAGCCTTGTGCATGCGAGGAAAGCACTCTACCAACTGAGCTACATCCCCAGCCTTGATGTGTCTTCTAAATATTCCTTTTAATTGCCCTTTCCTTTGTCCCAACCCAGAGATCTTTCGAAGAGTGGGAAAAACACGGGAGACAAGAGTCCACTGGGCTCTCCCTTATTCTGCTGTTTGAGTTTGGACAAGTTTTACTTCTTAAGCTTCATCCTCATGTCCAGTAGGGACATATGCATTGCTATACTCTTGTGCCTGCTGTGAGAACCTATTTTATAATGGGTGGGCCTCAAACCCATGGAGTGCTAAAACCAAAATAATGATTCATTTTTTCACATAAAGAAAATCCTACTCTTAGGGCTGGAGACATAGCTCAGTTGGTAGAGTGCTTGCCTTGCATGCACAGGCCCTGGGTTCAATCCCCAGCACCACAGGAAAAAAAAAAAGAAAGAAAATCCTACTCTTTAGGTAGCTTGTGTAGGGCCTTATCCCATGTGGTCATGCCCTATTTTTTTTTTTTTTGAGGGGGTACTAGGGACTAAACTCAGGGGCACTCAACCACTGAGCCACATCTCCAGCCCAATTTTATATTTTCTTTAGAGACAGGGTCTCACTGAGTTGCTTAGTGACTCGCTTTTGCTGAGGCTGGCTTTGAACCATCAATCCTCCTGCCTCAGCCTCCTGAGCCGCTGGGATTATAGGTGTGCGCCAGGATGCCCGGCTCATGCCCTACCTTTTATTTATTTATTTTTTAGGTATTGAGGATTGAACCAGGATGCTCTATCATGAGTCACATCCCTGTTCTTTTGTTCTTTATTTTGAGACAGGGGCCTTGTTAAGTTGCTTACAGCCTTGCTAAGTTGCCCAGGCTGGCCTGGAACTTGCAATCCTCCTGTCTCAGCCTCCAGAGTTACTGGGATTGCAGGCATGCGCCACTATGCCCAACCCCTTTTAACCTTCTTTCTTACTCCTGCATCCCTCTCCCATACAAATCCCCTGCTGAGGCTACACTGGATTTCCCCCCATTTCTCAAACTCACCTTTGTATCTTTGCTCATTTTGCTTTCTTCAAATGAAATGCTAGGCTCATCTCCACCTAACAAAACTCATTCATCAAAGGCCCATTCTAAGGAAGCCTCCTCCACAAAGCCTTTTCTAATCTTTCTTTAGTATCCTCTCTCTCATATATACATACACATGCACACAGAAGGGCCAGAAGAACCCTCTGCTTCCTGTGAATTCTCAGCACTCCCTTCATTGAGGTTATTGGTTTACAGATTTCTTCAATTAGATTTCAGCCTCCTGGAGGGCAGGGATCACCTTATCCGTATGCTCCACTGCACCTTACAGCAGGGATTTAGGGATGTAGGATTTAGAGAATTATAGCCTCCATCAACCTGAGTCCAAGGAGGTGAAAATGCAGGAACACTCCCTCTGGGGCAAAAGAAATGGGTCCTGCTCTCCCTGCTCAGCCCCCACCCCTCCTGAGGCAGCCACATGAACTTAGTAAGTTCCAATGAGCCAATGAGATGAGTTTCTCAGTGGTGGGTGAAATAGGATCTGGAAGAACAGAATGCTTGCTGACTCCTGGGAAAACTCACCCAACCCAGCGTTTGCAGGAATCACCCAGTCTCCTGGCTTCAGTCTAGTCACACGGCAGCCCACGGCCTCCACTTGTCCCACACCTTCGTTCCCTCCAACAGCAGGCAGCTTGGGAAGGAGGCCATAGTTCCCTGAGGGAGAAGAGGGCAAAGGGTCAGCCATGTCTAGGCAGGGAGACAGCATAGACTCTGGGGCCAGTCAGACCCAAGCCTGAGCAGCCCTGCCTCTGACTAGCCTCAGCCTCCACCTGAGTGAGCCTCAGTTTCCTCATCTGTCCAGGGCCTAAGACTCTTTAGCATTCATGGTATCCTAGGGGCAAGGAAACTAGGAAAGGAGTCCAGCATGTCGCAGGGTCATCCCTCCCCACTGCAATCTTCCTGCCACAGAGGAGGGAGATCAGAAGGCTGACACAGTCTGCAGATGGAACCTCTGGAGAACAGCTGCTGCAATCACGGGCACTTCACATCCGCACCTGAGGAGGACTGACAATGAGGTAGCAGCTGAGCAAAAAAGCCAATTAACATAAGCCCCAGAAACCAAGGTTACCTTGGATCATATTTATGTCAGATGGATTGATAGGGGCCGCCAGCATCTTCACGTGGACGTCTGATCCTCCCACGGCCGCTAGCTCCAGGTTCTTCAGTCTAAGCACAATGCCAAGAGAGACGTTAATGTCAGCCAGGCTAGACTGGGCGTCTTCCACTCAAATCATCTCCCCAAAGTAGGTCAGGCAGCGCGTCTGAGCTGCCACGGTGCCCAGGAATTAGGTTCTGCTGGAAAAGAGCCGAGTTCCAAGGAACAGCACAGGGTGCGGGTGGACCTCCAGCCCCACTGTCCACACTGGATAAAAACAGTGAAAGCCTCTGCTGACCTGAATTGGCTCTGTATGTCCCCAGACTTGCTCTGTCCTAGGAATTCTGTGGTGGGCTCACTAATAATATAGATTCTCAGGCCTGAGCTCTGACTCACCAAACCAGCCTCTCCAGATGAAGGAACCCCAAACAAGCAAGTCTGGGAGACCCAGGGAGGGCTTGCCCACTTGTCCTGTTTGTGGTTTTGTTGGCCCTAACACAATAGGGCAGAGGAGACATTCTCCTTAGCGGAAGAGGGTGGAAAATGGAGATGGACTTTCTATTTGGAAAGAACTCCCTGGTGAGTTACTGAGCCCCTGGCATCATGTCCCTTCTAGGTGAGGATCCTGGTCTGTCAGAAAGGATCCTGGATGGATCTGGAGGTCTTTGGTATATATCCCCACCACAGGCAATATCTTCTATGCTCTGTGCGATGGGGTAGGGTGGTTTGGGCTGGATTGCTTCCAAGAGCCTGTCCCTTTTAAGTCTGTGATAAGTCCTTTCACTCATGTGGACCTGTGACACCACAGTACCAGCACCTCAAAACTTGGCTTAATGGTAAAACCTGCCTGAGGGCTTTAGGGGAGGCCAAGTGACAATGTTCATGTGTTACTTACTAACAAAGTTCTTTAAAAACAAGAGCCAGTCAACGAGCTAGTACTGATAGTGTACGAAACTTCTGAGTCCCCATGCTGTTTTAATGACCGGAGACCCTCTTTCTCCACAATGTAAGATTTCAGGTTGCCATGCTTCTCTGCCTAAATGTATTTATTTTACTTTTAATTTCTATTATTTTTTAGTTGTAGAGGGACACGATATTTTTATGTGGTACTGAAGATTGAACCCAGTGCCTCACACGTGCTACGCAAGTGCTCTACCACCGAGCCACAACCCCAGCCCCTTAATGTATTTATTAAGTAGAAATCTTATTTATTTTCACCTATGAAAACCATATGGTACTGCCAACCAGAGGTTTGCATGAGGCCACAGCATCACCATACTAAACTGTGGTAATACCATCTACTTCTGACAGACACCAACCTTTTCATTAACCTAGGCCTTGACCTGGGAGTAAAAGTGTGATTTTCAAGAAATGTTTTATACTAACAGTAATAACGGAGTCAGGCCATCACAAGGTATTTCTTATACACCAAGTCCTATGCTAAGGGCTTTAAACCCATAGCTCATTTTGCTTTTGTGAGAAAAGTACTATAGTCCCATGCTATCTAGTAAGGAATGAGTCATGTAGGCTACAAAGGCAATAGAAGTTAACATTTCATTTGCACTATACAGGCCGAAAAAACTACACAGAACATAGAGGCTACACTGGTTGCGTAGGTCACAAAGGCTAGAACAAATCATAATATAATAAGATATGGAACTGATTATGGAACTTTCACAGGCTTGGGTGACTGGTTAGGGGCTCCAAAGCAGGTGTTTTTATTTATACCGCTGGACATCAGCATCCTGGTATGAGTTTAGGAATGTCCCTGACTGCCTACAAGGACCCCTGAGGATCTGGGAGCCCAAGCTGGGAATCCCTGCATTGTCCAAGTAAGGAAGGTCTTGTCCCACCATGATTGAGACACAGTGGCAAGAAACCAAAATGGTCACATTCTACAGAAAATGGCTAACGATGAGGGAGTGGATGGCCAGGGGAAGAAAAGACAGAATAAAGTTTTTTTTTTTTTCTTTTTTTTTTAAGGTAAGTATTAAGGACTGCAAGTACTTATATGTCAGCGGGAGAGAGGGAGTCCTTGTCACAGTAATCACTAGTGCTTACCCAATGCTTACCACTCAGGCACCCTGCTAAGTGCTACAGGCCAGCTTCCAGGCTTTGGTGCCATTGTTCTGCTTTTACAGTGGAGGAACAAAGGCACCAGAAGAGGTAAATAACTTGCTCAAGGCCACTAACAGCAGTAAGTAGCTGAACTGCTTTGAACTTGGCAGTCTGATGTTAGAGTTGCCACCTGGAAGGGGGCTGACCCCAGTCCAAGCAGAAGGCAGTGAAATAAGCCCCTCCCTGGGCTGGTGTGGGGACCGGCCCCTGCTGCACCTGCCTGATAGGGAGGATGGGCACTGTGAGCCACCGCCATGGCCTCCCCACCGGACCACAGCCGGGTGGGGGGGCAGCAGTGATGTTTCTCTGGGGACTTGTAAGTCTGAATCCCCCCCAAAAAAATCCTGCCCAAAGCAAATGGATTTTGGACTAGCTGCCCCTTTGTATTATTCCTACTGCTTCTCTCCTGAATTTTGACAGATAATCAGACTTTTTTTCTGTAAGCTGACAAAGTCCATGAGCTCAAGCCGCTTAAAGGCATTTTTTCCCCCTGCGCATTTTCTACACCCTCCTCCCTCTGTCCAGAACTTCGTTTCCACAGCTTCTCCATGAAGTGAGAAACTCAACTCACGCTTCAAGACCCAGCTCAAATTTTACTTCCTTTTGACTTTCTTCCTGGTTCTGAAAAAAGTCACCAGCTCAGTTACACAAAAGGGGGGACTATACCATTTAAAACCTTGGTTTACTAATTTATTTTATTTTTGTTACTGGGGATTGAACCCAGGGGTGCTTTTCTGCTGAGTTACATCCCCAGCCCTTTAAGAAAATTTGTTTTGTTTTGAGAGGGGACTTGCTAAATTGCTGAGCTTGGCATGGAACTTGCAATCCTCCTGCCTCTGCCTCCCAAATTGCTGGAATTACAGGCGTGTGCTACCACGCCAGCCACTATTTTTTAATTTATAAAGTCTTTCCACACAATTTTTCCCAATTGATCAGGACACGGGTTTTTCCAAAGCTCAGGGCTAGATGTACCACAGACTTGAAAGCCATATGTTATCTACACTCCCTAGGGGGCTGGGGCAGCACCCTGTGACCAACACTTCTTCAGCAAAATGTATAAATATTCACACTAAGTGAGATGAATAAAAACCACGTAAAAACTATGTTAAATCAGGTTTTGCCTCCAAATGATTTATTAAAAAAAAAAAAAACTGTCAGTTTTCAGAGCTTTCTGGATTTTGGAACTGCAGACAGGAGAATTCAGTGTTTTTCTACTCACTACTCTGTCTTGTGGTCAGAACCTGTGTTTCCCTGCTAGGACTGTGAGCTCACAAGAGCTGAGAACCATAGTCTTACCTCAGTGTTTAGCAAGTATCTGGGATCGAACTTTTCTCTCCCATGAGAAAATATGGCACAAGAGTGTCAGTCACTTAGGGAGTCAGGGGAGGGCTGCAATAAAAGGGCCTTGGCTAATTGCACTTGCTCTCCCTGATTCTAAGCCATTTAGAAACACCTCCAAGGACCAGCTCAAATAAAAATGGAGATTAGTGTTAGAAGAGTTTATCAAGACACATAAATCAAATGTGCACTAACACACACCTATTAAAAATCTAGATGACCAGGCTGGGCACAGTGGCACATACCTGAAATCTCAGCTATTTGGGAGGCTGAGGCAGGGGGATCGCAAGTTCAAGACCAGCCTTGGAAACTTACTGAGATCCTGTCTCAAAATAAAACATGAAAAGGACTGGGAATGTAGCTCGGTGGTAGAACGCCCCTGGTTCAATCCCCAGTAGCATCACCACATGACAAGGATGACCATGGTCAAGATGAGAATGTAGGTGGACCTCAGTCCATGGAGGTGCAAAGCATGGGTTTGGAGGGAAGCGGGCAGCCCTAGGTGGGCACCCTACCTGTCCAGTTGGAAAAACCTCAGCATTCCTCTCTGTAAGATGGGTAACACTAGAACCCAGCTCCCTGGGCTAAGTGAGTTAATGTATATACAGCATTTACTGCAGCGCTGACACAGAGTACTGAGGAGATGGCAGCAGTTACCAGCAGGAGGAAGAGCCGAGCCAGCCTGTGGAACAGTGAGATGGCTCTTCCTCTGAACACAATCACTGAGTCACCTTTCAGACCACAACCTTTTGGGAGATTCAGGCAAATTTAATTCAACAAATATTTATTGACAGTCCCTATGCCAGATACTGGCCCAAGAGGTCTGAGGAGGAATACTTTAAAATCTCCTGCCTGGGAACCTGCAGGCGTGAGAACCCCCGTGGGAATGCTGGGGCTCCGACAGCATAGGCTCCTAGAGGGAATCCACCCAGCGTGTAACCTGTGGGAGGAGGAAACAGCTAGAGAGGGTCTTTGGAAGAAGTGACACCTTAGTTGGGGCTGAAGGACATAGAGTCGACTGGGTAGACTGAGGACGAGGAACAAAATCCTGACTCGACAGTCGGCCAGCAGTGGGTGCGGTCTGGATTCAAGTCATGGGAATGAGAAAAGAACTCAATAACTGAAAACTCTTTAAATATGTGAGGGTAATGCACCTGACCCCAGGTTGGGGGTGGGAGTGGAAAGTCTCTGATGGCTCCCAGGCTTCTGGTGAACTCTGGGATGTGAAGCTAGGGAGGAAGAAGAGTGGGTCTGGAGTGAAGTTATATTTAAATCTGAGGCAGGCAACCTGCAGTGGGGATAGCAGAGGACAGAGACAGCAGGAAAATTTAGGATGACCACTAGGCTGGACGATGGAGTGATCACTCATGCTGACAGCTTGAGCTCCAGGCAACAGGCTTCCCATCTGACCTATGGGATGCTGTTTAGTCCTTCAAACCGATGACAGAAGAGGAAATTGAGGCTCGGAGAAACTACATACATTGCTCAAGAGTAAATGGCAAGTCTCGCTTATCTTAAGCTAGACTGCAAAGCTCAGACTGCTGAACGCTGTCAGCACCACTGCAGTGCTGAGGAGCTCTCCTGGGAGATATTAGTGGGTATTCCTGGGATCTGG